AACTCACCCGAAAGTGAGAATTCTATCGTGTCCTACACGACAGAACCCTATCTTGTCTTCGGCTGGGGCTGCACTCCTCTGAGCGGTCGCCGGTTGGAACTTCATACCCATGCATGTTTGTAGTAACGTAACACCCTAATCCAAGTAAGTACTCATCTCACTTCCCTTTCTCCACTTAACCATCTCTGTGTCCGAAATCTCCACGTCCTTGTGCCATTCTTCAACATTCAACACCTAATGTCCATCCGGATCCATCCTACACATGTTTCATCATAACAATAACCGTTCGATCGAAATGTCAATTCCGGTCGAGTGCCCGACTGAACTTTCACATTCTTGATGGGCATCACCACCCAAGACCTGTTATAGTCTCGGATGGTCGTCTCCGGTCTGCATGGCCCGGAAGCGCGTTTGGGCTTTCGCTCCTTGGTTAAATTTGTAGAGCAATGCACCACAGTTCAACCGAGACAACGACACCCAGTTTGGCTCGTCGAAGCCCTTGCACTTGATGAGGTATTCGCGTAGTCGCTTGGAAGTCCGAGTCCGATTGGACCAACGGAGGTCCAGGATCCCTTCCACTTCGTACTCATCGTTTGCGTTGTCCACTTCCCAGCTGTCCTCTGGTAGCAAAGTGGCATCCAGATCATCTTCATCGCTGACTTCGACCTGGACAGTCGGTCGTTTGGGGAATAGCGCCCGGGGCTTAAGTCGACTTATGTGCACCCATGGGTTTACTCGATACCCCGTGTCCGAAACCTTCAACGTCACTCGGAAGTCGTCGGTTACTTTGGCAATCCGAAACGGACCGTGCCATTGGTGAGCTAACGTCCTGTCCAACCCCGGCTGAACTTTAGGGATATAAAGCCATACCGCATTTCCAACCGAAAACCCCTCCTTGACACGTTCTGACAGTGCCTTCCACTTCCGATTCTGCGTGATCGTGCGATCTCGCTTGGCCTTTCGTTGTAGGTCACACATTCTTTGACGAAGGCTTCCACGTCCGCATACATGCCGTACCAATAGAAATCCGATCGGAGTTTCTCATGAGTACGCGTAATACCTTGATGACCACCTTGAAAATCCTCGTGCGCATAGTGCAGCATGTCCTGGCGAAGTGAATCTGGAACCGCCAGTCGTAACATATCGGTCTGGTCCCGGGGTCGCCCCTGGACAGAATGGTTCAGTCGAAATAGTACATCTCGACTATTCAATACGAATAGGTCGGCTTCTTTCGAGAGACGACGGATCTGACTGCGGGAGAAATTCTCTATTTCTCTTTTCAGGAATTCCTTGAGATTCCTCAGATGGGGGCCCCTCCTCCATTTTTCGGCTTGGTACTCTAGCGGCCCCATCGAGTTGGACCGACCGGGGTCTTTACGAGTACGGCTCCGTGTCACGACCGCCATGACCCGGACGGGTGTGGGTAGAGGTGCGGAGTCGGGGTCCGGGTGGGTTTCTGCAACTATATCGTACGCCGGGGCCGGACAGGATCAAACGTTCGCGTCTTCGTCGAGAGTTACTACAGGTTTCATCAACTATTCTAAGATCGAGGAGACACACTCCAGGTGGGTCTTTTCTGTCGGATCAGTCACTGTCCATGATTCTCCGAGCGACAGCGTCTTCGAGGTGATATAATGATGAGATAATCTGTCGCTTGGTTGTATTCCCTCTTGACATGAACTAACCGGACTGACTTGAACTTCTCCCTCAAGACACCATACTCAGCCAAGCGTCGTTGCAGATTCGGCTGGTTACAGTTAATCAGACCTTGCACCTGTTGAATCACGATGCGTGAATCCCCGACGGCGACCACGTCCGAGATATCTCACTCGGCCACCATTGCCAATCCTTTTAGGAGACCATGATACTCTGCGTCGTTAACGGTGACATCTTCAAGCATGAAACCTTGAGCAGTCACTACATGCCAACCGGGGAGCCTCCAGAGTATACATCCACAGCTTCCCTGACGTGTAGACGTCTTCGTTACTCCGTCAAAGCTTAGCTCGTAGCCCTCAAAATCTTCGTTTAACATCTCAACACTGATCACCGGTTCGGCTTTTACTCGTACGTGGGATCAGCAGTTCGGTCACTTCGTCTAGATGCTCGCGTGGGGTGATACCCGCCCCCATGATAGCCGCTAGTCCGTCTTCATCGCTTTGAACCATGTGAATTTCCAAATCCCAATGGGACAGGATTACTCCCCACCGGACACATCGATCATCCGGGCTCTTGGACTTCAACAACTAAGACAGGACAGAATAACGCGTATAGACTTTGATCGGACATCCTCGGAGGAGATTATCGAACACGTCCAAGACTCGCATGATGGCGATCATTTCCTTCTCGGCGACATGATATCTGATCTCCGTCTTGTTCAGCACCCGGCCGGTGAAACGCACAGGTAAGATTTTCCCATCGTACTCCTAGCCTAGTACAGCACATGCTGCCCAACGATTCACATGTGGGATGATCATGAACGGCTTGCTCCGATCGGGATGCCGTAGTAGAGGCGTAGACACGATCTTTCGCTTGAGGATCTCGAACGACTCTTTGGCTCGGGGCAAATCCCGCCCGGCCTTGATCTGCTCCTCCGTCACTTCATGGAGCGCCGCTGCCACCACTGAAAAATCTTCAATGAACTTGTGATAATAGTTCAGGCTCCCCAAGAAAGACTGCACCCCTTTGAGCGTAGTCGGGAACGGCAATTCCTGGACGGAATTTGCGATCTTGGGCATAGCTCTAATACCTTCGGCGCTGATCTCATGTGAGAGATACGGGATAGTCAGCTTACCAACTCGCTCTTGGGGAGGCTGACGGAGATATTCCAGTAGCGTAACCGATACAACAATGCGTCCAAAACCTCGCACAACTGATCCCAGGTGGGGGCTCCATGCCCAATGTCGTCGATATAAGAACTCCGTCCGAGAACGGGTCCCATCTGTGATGGCTCTGGAATATTCCGCTTGAAAGCTGTCATCTCGTTCGCCAGGGTGGGCACGTCTCGGCCGGATTTCTCATGCTGTGCTTCAAGAACTCGCTGCATCTGATCAAGAAGTGCAACAAGCCCGACCGGTAAGGTACTCTTTCACTCGGTACCCGAGTGAAAGAGATGGAGCACAGCATGGCTTAGGAACTCTAGCACATCCGCATCCACCGTCTTCTCCTCTTCTGGAGGTAGTCTGACGAACCCCCATAGATAATTCTTAATCATCTCTTGGTATATCAGCGGGGCGTTGTTGAGCCCGAATGGATTCGGATCCATTGGAAATGTCCGAATGGACACACGAACTCTGATATGCGCTTGGCTCGCTCATTCATGCGTATGGCCCAAAAGCCGCTCGCCATGTCGAGTGAGATGAACCACATAGCCCGTTCAAATCGGACCAGGAGATCATCAATCAGGGGCAACGAATAATTCGACAACTCGATGAAGCTGTTCACAAGAAGATAATCGATACACATCCGAATGTCAATCCCATTTTTCTTCAGGACGATCACGACTGGAGAGGGCCAGGCGGAGTCGGACATTTCGATAAGTCCAGTCTCCAGGTGCTTCTTCAGCAGCTCGTACACCTTCATCGCGACCTTGGGGATAATCGACCTTGGTCGGAGCGCTATAGGTTTGCCGCCCCTGACATCTATGTCGCACACTACTCCTCGTGCTGGAGCAGGGGCCGCATTCCCATCGCCTAGAAAATTTTTGGAGTGCCGTTCGAGGATCTTTCTCAGCTGTTCTTCTTCAGTCGGAGTGGTCCGTCCGGGCACTCCCACGTCGGCGTTGGAGATATCACACTCGGGAGTAAGATCACGCAAGTCAGGCAGCATCACGAGGTAATCGCGCAGTTGAGACATCAATACACTTCCCTCATGGATGTAGACACCGGGTTCCTGATCCAGATCCTCTTGAGTAGCTTTCATCACTCGAACATACTCGGCTTCTAACTTCTGGACGGGAGTCCTCTCGTCAGCGCAATCATGCTCCATCTGGACACTTCCTTTCATGGCATCCTCCCGATCGGGGGGTACCACTGGACTCGCTAACGTCTCGAATTCGGATCTGACCTCACAACCAACGCCCCCTTCGACTCGACTCACACCTGAAATGTCGGCATGCTCCGGTTCCCATCCGGAGTCAGTCTGTGTCGACGCGTCGGCAGTTGAGTTCGTCTGGGTTCCGACATCCACAGTCGTTTTAACTCCCCTCGTTTTTGTTCCTTCCCCACTGGGGTTGGCCTGTAGGCACGCAACTCGTGCAGT